AAAACCAAAAGAAACAAGTCTTAAGAAGAGCAAGACTTATTATAACAAAAATGTTTCATTTTACAATTGGTGTCTTCCATACCTCCACAGACTGAAACCTTTTTTTTTTTTTCGGGATGAAATAAGCAGTGTAAGTTTCAAGGAAAACAATTCAATACAATTAACGATAACCATTTTTTTTGTTGAGAAAAAAAAAAATGATTTTATGGTTATCCCATCAATTTACATTTTTACATTATTAAAATTCTTTTTTAAATGCTAATGAAAAGACATTTTAAAAGTGGACGAAATATTTATAGGATGCCTTATTTTTAACAACAGTTTACTTTAAAGAAAACAATTATTGAAAATATTAGATTTTCATTTCAATAATTGAGTTTAATAAACTACTCACCCAATTGAATAAGAAAACGATGACAAGACCTTACAAAATCTGAACCAACAAGAAGATTGTTTCCGTTCACTTAAAAGAAGTTTTCTTTTTCGATTAGTAGCAGACAGTAGTAAAATATAAGAAGACAAAAAACAAAACAACTTTGTGTTTTGATAATTTAAAGTTTGCATTTTATTTTTTCTTATGTTCATTTTTGAACGTTAATAAGCGCGCAATATTTCCAACTGTGTTGTCACAAAAAAGGATGCACGTTATTTTTAAGTCACTAAACAACGCGAAAGAAAAATAGTTTCATACTTAACTTATTGCTTAAATAAATAGTAAATTATCAATTTTAATTTTGATGTCCATCGAAACAAAAACCGAAGAGTTTTGACTTTTGACTGACTGACTCATTCACTAAATGAATGACCACAAAAATAAAAAAGTACTCGTTAAAAATTGTGACCCCCTCCATCAGAGTTACTGGAGTGTTTTTGTTTCTTCACTCCCATTCTACAATGAAAATGTGAGACCGTAACTTTGTGGATCCAGCTACACATGTTCAAGACTATTTCTGTTGAAATTAATGTAGCAGTATTGAATTGCAAGAGAAATTCAAGACAATGCCAACCGGGGCGAACAAGCAGTCATAGTCGTTCTTGCACAATGATGTTTTTGACCATATTGTTGCATATTTCTCAATTCAATTGTTACTGTTTTAGAATAAATTCCTTTTTTGTTGATAATTCATTTATCGATTTCGGGACCGCAGTTGAATCGAACAAAGACAATCGTTTAAAAGAAAACTAAAAGAAATGTAAAGTTTTTATGATACTGCCCAACAATAAAAAGACTTCCAAGTTTATAAAAAAAAAAAATACTAATAAAATCGAGTTAAAAAAAGACATGGCTTTCAAGAAAACAAAAGTTAAAAATTTTCAAAAGTTTTATTTTAAAAAACTGAAGCCCCTTTTTTGTTGATATAGCACAACGCCTCAAATATCGGTTAAATTAATTAAATTAATTACTACACGTACTTTTTTTTTTTTTTTTTTACAGGTGCTCAATATTTAAGGTAACGATTTAATTCTGACACCGCATGACCGGTGCCAACTTCGAGGATGAAAACTGGTTATTGACGATTTCAGCAACAGGAACTTTATATTTTAACAAACTTCTTAGCTGAGTATGACAAAGCTTTGCTCACAAATACGAGACACCTCGTTGTAGTAGTACTGGCCTATGAGATGAGCTTATTTCCATGTAGCAGTAAATTCAGAATTTAAAAAATAATAATATAGCAACAACGCAAACTTCTCACCCCCGCCCTAAATAAATCCAAGATTCTAAAAATTCTAATACGAAGTTGAGAAAACTAGGCATGTTATTACTCGCAGCTATACTGATAAATGACAGTTTTTAGCTAATCAAATCTATTTAACTATTGATTGACTTTCCCATTGTCAGTTAAAAAAAACTACTTAATTTTTTCTAATGTGCAGAACAATACTTACACGGTTTGTAGATCAAATTAAAACATCGAGTTTTTTCGATGCCCATTCAAGATGTGGGCGCTCATTACTCGCCAGGTTTTTTTTTTATTCCGAGATTAAATCTTTATTAGGATCATTCCAAAGTAAAAGGCAAAGAAAAACGTTGGCCAAGATTTTATGAACAGGTAGGTATTTAACGTCTGCATTGCTTGCTATTGGGCTTCAGGAAAACCTTGTTTAGCGAGCGAGTTTGGTTGGCTATTAATAGTGAGTTCGATCCTCATTGAGTACCTCATACTTGTGGCCTTTTTACTTATTAAATTTTAGTTTCTCCCCCCCCCCTGTATATTTAGCAGTAAAAAATGTTTTTATGAATTCATTCTTTTTTCAATTTTCATAAATCTGATAAAATTTGATAAGTATCCTTATTTATCCAAGTGACTAACTTCAGGAAGAAACAGTTGAAATTTCAAGAGCACATAATGAGGAAAGGGTGCTTGGGAAATTTGATACACACAGAGCAGATTGAAACAGAAGAAAACAATGCATAGCCTACCTAGCGGGCTTGAGTAAATTGATGGCAGAGCAAGGTTTAGAAGAGAGATAACAAAAAGACAAATTAAGAATGACAAATGACAGGAAATTGTGGAGAGCCATAATCACCAACATCCTGAAGGGATATGGCAAAGAAGAATATGTCATCCAATAATTTATTTATTTATTTTTTTTGTCAAATTACTGCTTAAAACTGAACTTGTACTTTTCCTATGCATCTATCTCAAAGTAATTTTATTTTAATGTTATTCATTATTATGGTATGGTAAACTTAATTGCGATAAAATTAAAAACTTCAATACTTTAAATCGCCTTTTTTTTTTTGTTACAGAAATGTTACAGTTCGTATTTTTATTTCTATCATTTGACAGTTGCTATTGGTTAATTTTTTTTTTTTTTGTAAAACAATTATGACATTTTAAAATTAATATTCAATTATTAAAAGATTATTAAAAAAAGTGATGGCAGGTGAGAAGATTTTAGAGAAATTTTCATCCATAAAATAGGTTAAATAATTTGTTTCAGAGTTTTTTTTTTTTTTTACTATCTAAATTAACATATCCAGTTGTGAAAACTTGTTTGATTGGTGGGATAAGGTCCAGCATAACAGCCAATTTATTTAGTAGCTAAAAAAAAAAAAAAAAAACTTACTTATTCATGAAGACTCTTTATGGAGCACAGAGCCAAAACTAAGCAAAGTTTGTTTTTTTTTTTTTTAAACTAAATGGTCACTCAATAGAAAGCCCAAGAGCCACCAAGGTAAAGGAATACTACATGAGATTGCTGTACAAATATAAGAGGAGGAGATAATTGAAAATTATGAGGACATGTACGATAGTGGTTGACCCTAAAATTGAAGAAGTTAAGATTGTAGTTATCAAGAAAGATTTCTTTTGGGAGTTTGTTCCACAAAGTAACGATTTTCAGGAAGAAGCTGTCTGAGGGGAACTTACATTTTACCAATGGAATACGAAGTAAATGAGTTAGACCTGGGTATATAGCGTGGTGCATACTAACTGTAACTAAGGAATGTAGCTCATCTGAACATTTATCATGTTAATATAGTAGTGATAGGCTTGCAACATTTCATTTGTCAGGAAGGGGCTGGGGGAGGGGGGAATAATAATTAATTTTCCACAAGGTGGCATAAATGCTTTTGTCAAGGCTGGAACGTGTGTACTGGGCATCTTCATCCTAGATATGGTAGACATGTTATTTTTTTTTTTCTGATCTAATTTTTGTAAAGATAAGCCTGGTAGGAGGAGTCTGGTACTTTATAGAGTGGTACAAAGAACAGATCATTTTTCTAGCATCTTTAGCTGCTTTCAGTGGTACATTTTAAAATTCTGCTGCCATTTCAGTAGCAAGTAATTTTTTTACTGGTCAAAGTATGATCTTAATAGCCATGAAAGACTGCCTTACAGAACTAACATCCTCTAACGGCTCTAAACTCATAGCTAGAGGAGGGAGGGGAGAAGAAGTGGATTTTTGTCTTTCTCAAAGATACACAAACTATCCCAGCCAGAATTTGAATTCAGTTTACAGAGTTCATTTACTCTGCTGTTAACCGTTAGACCAACTACACGTTCTCTAAACCATTAACAATAGAAAAAGATTTTCTGACAAACCTGAATTTCCTTGAGTTCCTTCTCCAGTCGCATACGTTCAGCAGTCTCTTGGTCAAGTAATTCAGATGCATGACTCGATGTTGTAGCTTCTTCAGCAAGATCAGCATTCAGCTCAGAAAGCTAAAAACAGAAACACAAAAGTAACATTTTGGAAATGTCTTTTTTTATTTTTTATGTTACAGTGTAACCCGGATATAAAAGAATTGTTGGGACTGGAGAAAAAGTCTCTTATATCCGGGTTTGGTCTATTTTATATACATTAACACAGGCTCTAATTTTGGACCAGAGAAAATCTATCTTATATCCGGGTTACACTATACAATGTAATGCTTACTTAAAGACAACAATTTTGATCAAACAACAAAAAGACCAAAATTTAAGATACTCTTCAGGAAATAAGAAATTCAACTTTCTATAATATCCATTGAGTAGACAATAATATAAGAGTGTATATATATATATATATATATATATTAGTTAAACCTAGAGAGCCAGACAAACCTACCAAGGTTTCACCTAAGCAGATAGTCAGGGAAAGCTGGCTAAATATTAATAAAATAATAATATGAATTAATAAAAATTAATAATAATAATAAAAATTAATAATAAAAATTATATATATATATATATATATACACACACACATACCAATGAAGTAACAACTAAAAAATCAGCAAATTTTCTTTGATTGAGAAAAATTTTTCTCAAACTTACAATAGTGGCCAGTCAAAAATAAAAAATAAAAGAAAAAATCAAAACTGAGCTGATGTTCAAATATAGTAAGTTGGTTGGTTTGTTTAGCAGCATATCAACACCTCTATGTGTTATTTAATACCAGAATCTAAATACTTTGTATGCATTTTTTTTTTTTTTTAGATAATGGTTTTCATGATACAAGTCTTACTAATTAACCCATAGTTGGGGGGGGAGAAGAGGTAGCTTCATACACTTCCCAACTGGAGTTTGAATGCAGCTCTCTGATTAACAAATCCAAACCATTATCCATGACACTACCCATACATCCATGCTTACAGCACCCGGGATTCTCAATCGGTCACCCATCTAGGTACTGACCAAGCTTGACGTTGATTAACTTTGATGATTGTATCGGAATCAATGTTTCAATAAGATGTAGTTGTAAGCCTCAAATACAGTAAAGCACAAAATATAAAAATCAAATAAAAGATAACAAATATAAGATTTTTATTGATTTTTTTTTTTTTAAATATAAAACTTAGGATTTGTATCATTACTTAAGTTGCTTAATTTTTATGCAAGAATTAGTGCACAGAAAAGAAAGGCATTTCAATGTAACTAGTTGAAATGGTAAAATTCTTGAATGCAGCTTAAAATAACATTTAGTCACTCTTTTCTTATTTTTAATTTTCTTTTGTTTGATAATTTTATTTTGAGTTACTTAAACCATACTAATATCAGATTAAGATTTAATCAAATCAAATTGCTTATAAATAAATAGTAAAGTACCAAAAGTAGGTGTGTGGACAATTATAAATTTTCTCTCTATGATTTATATTATTTCACATATGAAATACTTTCAAGAAAATAGCTCCTATAATTTAAAAAAAAATACAGTTGTATTCATGTAATTCAGCATGTGTAGTCTGACAATGCCCATTGGCATGTTTTGAAACTATTGTCAGTATAGTTTGAAGATCTATCACTAGAGTTCTTGGGTTTGTTTTCAAACCTAAGTTTGAATTGGAAATTAACAGTTAAAAACCGGCTGAAACTAAATGCATGTTTTTAGACAATTTGAAAGTGAATTGACAGACTATGGATTTAATAACTTTTGTATTTATTTTGGTATAAAATTAGACTTATTAAATTTTCTGAATTGTACCAATTATTTTTAATAGACTAATCATTTCCAGTCATGATAATTTAATGTTAGATTATATAAATTACATTAAAAACAGTTTTATAAAGTAAAAAAGCAACAACAAACTGCTGAAATTTCTGTTTTCCAACCTTTTATGTTATCTGATAATGGCCATACTCTAAAGTTGCTAAATTCAAAACAGGTACAACCTGTACTTATTAATTGGATAATTTTATTTTTATAAACTTCAGTATAAGCACATATTTATATTTCCTGAAAACTTTAACTGTCTATTTGTTATCTATGAACATCAGAAGTCAATAGAATTTCATTTTGGGAGCTTCAGAGAATACATTATAAATTTCTTTTTACTTACTCGGGTATCTAATTTGTCACAGTGTTGTTTGTATTCATTCCTTTCCCGTTCAACTTTTTCAAATTTAACTTTCAGTTGTTCTAATTCAGCCTGTAATTTACAAAGGGCAAATAAGGAAGCATTTATTCAAAGTCAGTAGAACTTACAATTTAAGCAGCATGTATATTATTAAAAGATCAACAATAAAAAAATTAAAAAAAAAAAAAAACACATTTTCGAAAGGAGAATAAAGAAACCATAAATAAATAGATTCAAAAACCAATTGACGAAAATGATCATATTCCAAAACGCGTTATCTAATCTAAGAAGTGAATTAATATTTATGTATTATTACTGAATTAATTAATGTAATATTTTAAGAATGGATATAGGTAAATTATCTTGTTAAGACTCAAACTTGAGTGTTAGGTAGATTCTTTGAGTAATGTTTGCTTTTTATTGCTAGGTACTGGAAAGAGATAGATTAAAAGTATTCAAGGCATTTACCTCTTTGTTCTTTAGCTCTTCCTCCGTGCGATGAACATTGAGCAGGGGCTTCACCCGCACGTAAAGGCGCCACCAGGGCCAATCGCGGATGAGCATGAATTTCTTGACATTTTTCTGGATACAACTGATTGCAGTGTGCTGCAGCTGCAAAATAGTTAAATTAAGATAACAGCATGAATCTGGAATAGGACTTTTTTAAAAAAAACAAAAAACAAACTCAAAAGCAGATGACAGAAAACAAACTCCTCTCACCCATCACTTCAATGAGGAAAAATGCAGAGAGGTTTGAGAACAAACAACATTTAACATAAAGGAGAACTGGGAGTGGGAAATGAGTTTTTGTTGTTGAAAAGTCACAAAGAAATAGGAAATGGCATTTGGTAAATAGCTTCTTGTCCCAAAGAATTTTAGCACATACATTGTGAAAAAGAATAAATTGAAAACAAACCTAATAGCATTTTTTTTAATTAAGGCTATCAAGACAAATACTATTTTGACATTAAGCTCTTAACTTATACTAATGGGTTAATTAAAACATTTTGATAATTGTAATTTGTAACCAAGTTTGGCATGAAGCCTTCTGAGAATTGGGCAGGTTTGGTTAATTAACTTTGATCCTATCCTTGACAAATATATATGCATATAGGATAAAATAAGGAACAAATATGAAATGTTTATAAATTTAACATAACTGACCAGTACTCAATAAAAATACTAACTAGATGATATTCCTGGACATGAGCAGTGGAAAGAGAACAGTTTACCACCATAGATTAAATAAAGGGTGCAGTTCAGAATTCCCTTTAGGTTACCCAGATTGATATACAGCTGAGGAAGGCAAGGGCACAACGGCTGAAAGATTGTCATAAAAATGAGGACAGTAATCTGAATATAAACAGTGTAAATAAATTTAACATATTTCACTTTTACTTAAGCTTCATCAGAATTTTTGAGGGAAATGAATTATAGAGGAGAATCTCCCCAAAATCTCTGATGAAGCTTAAATAAAAGTGAAACATTTTAAATTTATAAACGTTTCTTATTTCTTCCTTATTTTATCATTGTCAGATTTAATCTATGTTTAGTTCCTATATATATATATATATATATATATATATATTATTCTGTTCTATTTTTACCTTTTTGGCCAGTTTACCCTGACGATCAGTGTAGGTGAAACCTAGGTAGGCTTACCTAGCTCTTTAGGTTTATATTAGGTTTGCTCTACTCTGTGTAATGAGCACTTTACGTTGTTACTTTTACTTGTTTTGGAGGGTTTTTTTTTTTCTTTGGACTCTGAGCTTGAATTCGGGATAATTGTTTTCACCTCAATTTCATGTTCTTAGTTCTTTCTTTTTTTATCCCTTATTTTTCCTTGGGCATTGGTTTGTTCAATTATAAACCAAAATACCTAAGGTTTTTCCAAACGAGTATATATATATATATATATATATATATATATATATATATATATGACGTGTAGAGTGTAAAAAGTAATTAGCTATAAACTAATTTGGGCATAAATATGGAAGCAATATGATATGTAGGTTGTAAAATATTGATTGCTTTGAGCAATATTCATTGAATAAAGTAAATTCTGTAATATGTTAAAAGTAAAAACTAGAGATGTTGAAAAGTAGCAATTAATATTTAAAGTATTTCAACATTTTTGAAAGAAATATTAAGATCATCACCAGTTGAGGCTGAAACTGACTGTGCTTGTTTCAAAGTTCCCTTGAAATGGCCTTTGTCAATAATAGAGAGTAAAAAATTCCTAATCAAATTTTCTTAAAACTTCACTGTAATATTATTTATGATAATAAAATGTGTCTTGAAACAGAAAATGTGCATTCATTATTGATTTTCAGCTTCAGAATATTATATACATCAAGAAGGGAAAACATGAATACTTTCCTAATAAAGGGTTGGTATTCCATTTGCCTGCAAAACAGCTCTTACAGTCAGGTAGAGACTCTACAAGATCTCAAAATTCCTCCTCTGGAATCTCATGCCAAAATGTTAACAGTCACATTATATAGGAAAAGTTGTGCAAAGCTAATTTCTTGGTCAAACACATCACTTAACTGCTCAATGGGACTGAGATCTGGTGAGTTTGGTGACCAGAACAGCACAGTCAAGATTTCATGTTCCAGAAACCATTCCCATACATCTTGTTAAGTATTGCAAGTCAATAGATGCTTGCTGATTTCCTGCAGTGCATCCTGGAATCATCACTTCACAAGGATAACAATGCACATGTATACCTTGCCACATACCTATTCAGAAGAATGTAAAACTGATCTGATTGGGCAATCTTTTTCCATAGACGGTTCACTACTGACATCCATGTGCCTACTGAAGATGCTTTTGAGAATGAACATTGCTTAGAATGGAGCCTTTACTGGCCTGTGACAACACAGTTTCACACACAACAATGATCAGTGTACTGTGTGTTGTGACACTGTTATATACCATACCTATGAACACTAGTAGGTATGTCCCAATCTGGACACTATTGTAAATGGGGGTAATGTATTTTGTTGATGTTATAAAGATTACCATTTCATTTCCACCCTCTGTTTTAGTTATTCCTCATTCAGTAATCTTTTCTAGGTTACAACAGACACATTCCTTCCTTCACTGCAATTTATGCTATAATTGTCCTATTGGCTCAAATTTAGTGGAAAAGCCACCATTCACTTTTCATACTGATGTCTTGGCTGCCCAATATATTCTTATTGACTTTTTTTTCTCCTTAGACCACTGCAGATAGATATTCACCAGAATTAAACATGAGTACCCTAACAGTTGTGCAATGACCCAATCTTCTGCCCTTTATCAAAGTCACTCAAAATTGTCTTTTTGTGTATGATTGCAGCATTTAATACATCAAAATAAAGTACTTGAGGCTAGATTATCTACTAATGCACTTCTGATCATGACAGTTGTTACTAAGCAGTCAATGTTATTCTTACTAATGTTACCAGTCATAATGTTTTTGCTCATCAGAGAATGTGTGGGGGGTGTATATAACTAGTAGAGGGATAGTTAGAAAATTAATTCCAAAACTAACACACAACTAAAATCTTGTACTGGATTAATCACATGTATATCTCACATATTAGTTGATGAAGTTTGTAATGATTAGCATATATTTCATATAGGTTTAAATATAAATATTTTAGATAAAAGATCGATTTCATAATTGAATGTAATTTTAAAATTTCTTCCTTGCAAAAAGTATTACTTTTTTTACTATAATCTATACAAGTTCATAAATAAAAAATAATAAAAACCATTAAATCAGATCACTTTCAAGATAACTGCATTGATTCAATTGTATTAAAAGTGGAATTTCATATAGTTTGCATGTGAATAAGACATGATAAAATGTGTATGTTTACAAATAGTAATGTATTTTTGACAGAAAGCATATAAAATATTTGCTTCTACAAAAAACAAAATTTATAAAGAAAGTAAGTTATTATTTTTATTTTGTAAAAAAAAACACACATGCCAAATTATTTGAAGTTTGAAAATGATATACAACAAAAATCAGTTTATATAAATGGATTAAAATATTTTTATCCAATTTTATTAAATGCAACTACTTTATAAATTCAGAAATATGTGGGTTGAAAAGTTCTCAAGTTTCTAACTGCTGGGACATCGTTTTGTGACAAATATCACAGAATCCGACTCCTCCTCCAATTTCCTTTTGTACCAGGGTAAGGTGTTTTTTTGGTGGGCGGGGGGTCAATCTGCTACTGCTATTTATTTATGGCTGCTGAATTTGTTAACAGTGAGCCAATGCTGTAATTTTTTTTTTTCATTTTCTCACTACTTTTCTCAAAATCTTTTTTTTATGTTCATTACATGCACTATTGTGTTAAATTACAGAACTAGAAACTGCAAATGTTTCATTGTCCTAAAATAAAAATATGCAGTTAAAAAAAATATGAAAAACTGATAAATTTTCAATACTTTATAGACAAAACTAGTTGCCTTAATTCATATATAAATACATAAATTTATTATATAATTTTATTTCACAATTTGTTGATGTTAAGCAATTTTATTGACATTCCAAAATTGGAATCTCAATAAAATTGTGAAACATTTTCACTATTTTGATTTGATATATTTAAAATTAAAATAATCTAGTGAAATTGTTATTTTTAATGTCCTTGGTTTAGTTAAAAAATTTGTAGACCATCTGAAAAATAATTTTTAAAGGCCCATAGCAATATAAACTATTTGGAACATAGTTAAAATGAAGTAAAAAAAAAAATAGTTTATTTGTGTAGAAAATTATGGGGGTATCAACTTTCAGTCTCATATCTTCTTAAGTATCAAATTTATAAGGTGCCAAAATCAACAAACACAAGATTTTGGCATGATAAGTTGTTCTAGAAAAATATGTTTAAAGCCTAGATAGAAGTTTGTCCACAAAACAACATCTCTGGCACATGATCTTTAGACATGTAAGATATGTGGTAAAAATATAAAAACTTTCTTAAACTGCTTAACTGATCTGTCGATGTCATAAAAATAGGCAATCTTAAAGCTTTTAAAAAATATATAAAATAAAATAAAGCAAATTCTGAACAGCAATACTGACATTTCCCCTAACAGGAATGAATATGGTTACTGCAAAGAAATAATCTATTATATCAGAAATGACAGGAAAACAAATTTGGATGTTGTATCTGACATACTTTGTAAATAAGATACTCTCAAAATGGACAGCATCTTTTTGCACTTGACAATTTTCAGGTTCTTATTAAAAAACAAAAAAAGAAGGTACATAAGGCACACGTAAGTTGTTTATATTTTTGTAATCTACAGTAAGTATTAACTATTGTCACCAAATTTCAAATCTGTACATGCAATATGAATGTCAGAACTTTGTTGAAAGCCTTATTTAGCAAACTTCAAAAAATGCAATGAAATTTCAAAATGCTCTGATTTTAAAAACTATTAAAAGACACAGATCTGATATTTGGAATTTATCAATAAATTTGAACCAGAAACATCAATGAATTTTCCCATATTTTTCTCAGAGGGTCACCTATAGCTGTTGGTTAATTTGAAATGGAATGACCCAGTGACAAAATAAAAAATAGTGTAATTGTTTTATAAAT